TTTTTTTTTTTTCAATTAATTTATTACAGATGTATTTGTTATCACTAATCATGGAGAGTGTAGCTTTAGAGAATCATTGTAGTCATCGTAAAGTAGTGGTTTGTTTTTTCTGTACACACTGAATATTGTATGCTCGGTCAGTCGGACATAATATTTTGATACTTGCTGATTATATTTGGAGTCGTTTTTGTACATTACCACGATGTACAAATGAGTACACTCAGCAATCGTGTTTGGTTTATCGAACGCTAATTCGTGCCAAGTGATGCACTAAAGATATATGTGGAATTTTACGGATTTTTGTAGGCGTTACGTTAATAATGATGTGTACATTAATAATGATCTTTAATGAACCATTTTTGTGCTTCATTGAGCAATTATTTTGCAACCGCTGCTTTTTAAGTACATCTGCAGAAGTAATTCTTTTCTGCATTATGTTTTTTATAACCAGAATTGAAGGACATCAATTTGACTGGATTAATTATAATGGAAAGTGTTCATTTTAACGAGTCATAGGTTTACGTTAATATTCTCAGAAATAATCTTTAAATTTCTCAGAGAATTTGTAATTGAAGAAAAATGCGCGATTTCTGTTGCGTTACGTATGTATTTTGATTATAGATATCGAATACGCGTTATGTATTAAGAGTTATAGTAAATGTCTCTCATATATGTATATATCAGTAGAATTTAATAGTACATGAAGAAACCTATGTAGAAATATAGCGTTAATTTGTAGAAATAAGTCCCAAAGATATCATAAAACAAAAAATTTTGCTAATTAAATTTTTCTTATGTTATATTTTCTTCGATGGAAAAGATTTAAAAGTTACATGTTAGAGTAAAAATGAGAAAGATGTAATCTCACTAATGTTGATTTTGCAAGCGTTAATATTGCAAAATGATGCTTCCAAAGAGAATTGTGCTGAACGTTTATTTAGCATTAAATTTTCCTATAATTATGTGTGATAATTGTTCTGCTAATCATTTATTAATGAATAGATATTTATTAATAGATATCAGCACATCTTCGGATCTAAGAAAATTAGCGAGGAACTAACTGCTAAAAAATAAATTATTGCTATCTCTTTTAAAAATCTTTTTAATTCCTTAGGATAATATAAATATAAAATATATGCACTTATATATGACAGAAGCTTTTAAGGGATGAAGTTCTAAAAACATATTTAAAAACTTTCGTCACATGAATTTTACATTGGCGACAATGACTAAACATATCTGTCAAGAATTTCTATTATATTTAAAGCTTTCTCCTTTTGCTGTAAATAATGCTAGTAGGATATACAGTAATTGTGTATAAATAACGGAGTGGATATCAATAGAACACGTTAAACAAGCGACACGAGGATTTTCCCTTCATTAATAAGGCAATTTAAATACAAATTTGAAGCGCAATCTTTACACAAATACCCACTATCGAGTCGCAGCTATTTTTCTGCGACCCGTATTTTTTGAAATAATTTTGCTACTGAAACACTTTTTCTAATTTACGATATATATCGAAATTATCGATAAAGCGCTATGATCTCACGAAGGAACTACTCGTTCCCGATGTATCATTTGGGCAATTGACAATTCTGTGATAATAAGCACAAACCACTTTGCTATACTCCATTTTATAAGATAGAGCTTTTGTTTCTTTTTTAAAAAAATTCTTTATTATTCTCGATATTATTATCGTCATTTTTCTTCAGATCATTCGAGCTATATTATATTTTATTTAAATATGTCAAAATTTTTTATTGTATATTATCACAGAATTTATTTTCCCGAAGTATCTACTCTTGTATTTAACGATGAATCGAGTAGTGAATTTATATATTTATGAATTATTATTGAAATAGAAAAAAAAAAATTATTAATCAAGCACAGTAAATAACCGTAAACATAGTTAATTAGCAACAATCTATTCTTAGTTTAATCTGATTTGATGAAATCTTATCAAGAAAGGTATTATTGAATAATTTTTGCCACGTTTGTATTGCTAATTAATTCTTTTACATATATCATATTTTATATTATGTAGCAAATATCGAAACGTCCGAATTCGAAAACTCGCAGGGCGGAAAGCAAATTTGTTTCTCAACATTTTTTTTTATCTCTGCCACTATCTTATGTTCCATAAATCAGAGTGAGAGTAATCGAGCCTCAAATCCAGCTAAAACCTGCAGCATTGCCGAAGGTAATTGAACTCTGTTGACCTTAATGTAAGGGAATAAACGAGCGCGATTAAATGGCTACCGTGTGACACGAACGAGAACTTTCATCGTCTTCTCGCGTAACCAAATTTAATAAGTCGCTTCCTTTTCGGCCCTGCTTAAGATTGGACGAAGGCTCGAATATTCTGTTTATGGCTCGTTACTGATTTTACGTCGTCACTATACGAAACAGTTATATTTTCTTACACAATCGGTCGAACATCATCATCCGATGTAATATTCACTCCAGTACTGTGTATTTCTGACGAACGCTGTAATATATTGTATATTTCTTCTAATCAGTTTAGGGCGGGTGCCCTGTACTGTGATTAACAACATTTCTGTGTATGTGATGACTTGTAACGGGATTACAACACTGATTTCGATCAGGGCAAGAATGATTTCTATTCGTATCGCGTCATGAATGATTGTCAAATAAAAATTATCGTACATAATCGGCAACCTATTCTCTTATCAATTTCCTGAATTACATAAGTAAGAATTTAGAACACAAATTTAGAATTTTTCTGGATTTGACAGAACTATAGTTTGGAGTGGGGGGGGGGGGGGGTTTAATAGTATTTGAATATATTAAACAATTTCTACATTTGTTTGTGATACAAATGGCATCTTTTAACTATTATATTAACAAATAGTTAAAATTATACTAGTATTATATATATATCTCATTTTTACATAATTTTATATACTGTGATACCATTTTACAATACGTCTCTAATACTATATGCAATATTTTTGTATAAAAGATGGACGAAATATCAAACCTGCTTCTTCATTTTACCAAAGCACGAGTAACGAACGAGTTTAGATCCAATTCTTTTTCGCGATTGCGTAATAAAAGATAAATTTCCATTTCTTTGCGAGAGAGTCGTCAAATCCTTTGCGAATAATGGAGAATCGCGTAATTGTGCACTTCTGCTTTCTACCGACAAATCTGTAAAGACATATTTTTTTATATGATGATCGTTTTATGTCGAAAGTTTGATTGAACTGAAACTAGGTGGATTCAAACGTTTGTTCATAGTGTTTAATGCCACTGGACTAAGCAGGTTCTCTGCATTAAAAGCCCATTTATCAATGACAAGATGAATTTTGCATTCTCCAAGATTTCAATACTTGATACTTTAATAGGATATTTAAAACACATTTAGCATACGGAATAAAATAGAATTTTAAAATACGAAATATTATTTTTAACATACTTGTGCAACTCTCTTACCGTTTTTTATATAAGTGTATCGTAATATTTTCTTATTCTTTAAATTCATTGATAGAAACAGCATTATTTTTTCTAATATTTATGTCCGAGAAGAAGAAACGCGATACGCGAGACACCAATATATTCGAATTGAAAAATATAAAAATATAACATCAAGGTATATTTGATTACGAAATCCAGGGTAAAAATGATCGATATTCGTATTATCTATTGGCGTACCGTTCTTCTCGAACAAATTACCGTTTCTTTTTTCGGACTTTTTCAATTCTGCAATATCTGCTTTCTCTTTAATCGTATCGCTATCTCGTTGAACTTCCTCCGCGGATCTTTTCTTCATAGTTTTCACTCTTTTCAAAGTCATCGACGACGTTTTGACGCATCGTCTGCACCGCCACACGAATCTAGGATCGTAAACATCGATGTCGATGACTGGGGGTTGATGACAGAGAGGATGGTAAGCGTCTTGACACTCTTGACACTCCAACAAAATCAGGGCTCCCAGTTTCGCGCCATTACAAATCTTCGATTGCACACACCACAGATATCAGAATTCATTATAGATATAATTGATATTGCAGCAGCACGATAACAATCGTAACGATCAATCTCTATCGCACGTATTACTCGCCTTATATGCATTATAACCTGGCTGAATTTACTTGAAAAGAACCTTGCACACAATCCCATCGGCGAATCCTTCGTCAGGAATCGAGATCCTGGGAACGTCCTCGTCGTCGTAGCATTCGTAATTCACCTCGAATACTTCTATATCAGCCATTTGATAGTTTGCTTTGTTTTCCGTGATGTTGGCCTCGAGAAGAGAAACGGTCTCTGAATCGTCCCAGATTTCATTTTTCATCGCGCCGTGTCCTTGCGATGTGTAGTTGCGTTTCTTTGAATTTCGCATCGGAGAAGCTGTGTTGTCGATATTTTGTAAGAACCTTTTTGGCATTCTGGCGGCCAAAGTTTTGCCAGGACCATATTTTTTCTCAATGCAAGCGTCCAGCATTCGACGAAGTTCCTCAGTACTGTTCTCCTCAGTCGAATGCAGCAACGCTAACGCATTGACGAAATCTTCGTCAATGTCGGACGTACTCTCAGCGTGCATTTTTTGAATCTCTTCAAGCCAGATCTTGTTCAGATCAGTCGTACGATATTTAACTGTCAAATATTGAAAATATCTGTGTTATGTTAGTGTTTAAATGTTTTACAAAATTTTGTACTTTATTAAAGAAGTAATGTCTAAAAAAAGCTTAAATAAGTTTAAATAAAAATTGAATATTGATATATTTTATCAATGCTGCAATAGGTTAAAATATAACTTGTAAAATAAAGCTTGTAAAAAAGTAGAAAGATTAAAAATTACGAAGAGGTTTAAAAAAAATAATAAACTTAAAGTAAATCGTGTGTCTTTTCCGAGAAATGCATACATTGAAAATAAATCTGACTTCAACAGGGTTGAGGGTTAAAGAATCAGGGACATTTGGAATGTTTCGAATTTGGCATTGTTTACTCACGTGCGGGACGGCGTTCTTGACGATTTAAGCGCAGCGGCAAGTGGTTCTGCGGACTGGTAACAATCCTGGGAATTGTACGGGCAGGGACGTTCTACGGATTTAGATATGCGAATAGTATCCCGGGACGGACGTTTGCCGTGAAATGTGCCAAAGGAAGGTGGCCGGCATTTATCGGGCTCGATCATCGACTCGCCGCTTGTATATCGATGGAATCGCATCGACAACGCACCATTGTTCTCGTGACTGTTTGCTAATAGAATCCAGTGCTTATGGTCATCGTTCCCCGAGAATCGAATATACTGGGCATTGAATATTCAACAAACGCATTTCGATGTTAGCTGACTATTGACGTGAATGATCGACATATAGTCCGCTGCAGTAATTCGAAGAAAATCTGACGCAAGTTGCTATTTTTACGTTCGGGGATTTTCCAATAGATACGTCAAACGCGCGTTTTAAACAATGTAATTAAAAAATTTTTCTATTTAATATAAGAAAAAATAATTAAAAAATATTTGTGTAACGTTCTATTTTCCTACAAATATTTTATTTATTTCATTTTATCCTTGCAATATTCACGATTATTATTTTATTATAAATATCAATTACAAATCAAATATTTTGTGATAATTAATGATCAAAAGTTGTTACAAGTAAAATTTTGTATTTATAAATCGAAACTTAAAGCGATTTTGTTTAGCGTCAAATAATTCTTCCGACATCGTATTCCGCCGCTCTCTATTATTTATATCGCTTAGGGATAAAGATCCCTTCTTCAGGATCAGTTTTCTTTGTACTTGCTTGCGTTATGCGTAACGTACTTTTTCAAGGGCTCTATCAACAAGCCCTTCCGCATCATCTTCGCGCTTTTTCGGGGACGGTGACACGAAGAGAAAGGGTGGGCGAGCGGAAAAGCATCCAATTATCATGCCCGATGCTGGAGCTTCTCACCCTGCACAAGCTCAGTACCAGAATCGACTGGAATCCGGCCGGGAAGCCGGGCCCGGTAGACGTCGAACGAGTGGGATTATTCCGCGTCCGGGTTCGGAGCCGAGGGTCGGGCGGGGGCGGGCCGAGGGAACAATGTCGGAAACGACGGGGACGGTATGCCGAGATATGCAGGATATCGCGCAGAACTGCGATCCTTCGAGGTCTGAGCGAGGAGAGCGAGAGAGCTATGAGGATACAGCAGTGGTGCAAGTATAGTGAGCCAGATATGTACGCCCCGCGGTGCCGTGCCGCGTCGGGAGAGAGAGAGAGAGAGAGAGAGAGAGAGAGAGAGAGAGAGAGAGAGAGAGAGAGAGAGAGACATCTCGCTCGCCGCGCGCGTACCGCCTAAATATGTAATAATATCTACAGGAGATACCGGCATTCCCCGACCTCGAGAAGAATTCGATCAAAATGTGTCGCGATACTCTCCCGGTATGCTAGGTGAGGTACGCGCTCACCTCCCCTCCGTACGTTCTTCTCTTTCAGCAGCTTCCTGCCGCTTCTCACCCTCTTCGATCCTTCCGCACCACCCCTTGCTTCTGGTCCCTTCTCTGCGTCTTCTTCCGTCGTCGCTTTGTCCTCGTTTACACGCAGGATCGGATACAGTAAGGACGTCGTAGGTGTTCTTACGCATGCAAACTTGTCTCAGGCTGTGTTCTACCCCCGTGTGAAATCTTGATCGAAGGTGTGTAAAGTAAAATTTCAGAGATCCACAGAGCGATTCCTTTTATCTACGGATTTTTTCAAGTGGAGCTGATTTTCTTTTAATAAAATTTTTGTTAGACGTCTTTTCTTCTTCGCTTTTGTTCTTTAATTTTAAATATCTTTGGAATTAAGTCTCAAATTTTTTTAAGAAATTACGTTTGAGATTACTAGAAGATATCTTTTATGGACAAAAAGTTACGCAATAGATTTAATAGAATACATTTTGTATTGTAATTTTTATTTGCCTTTCGTTTTTGCTAAATTGGGTCATATAATAATTTTATACATTAGTATTTTATACATTGGTGTTTTGCATTACGAAACATTATTAATTAAATTTTGTAAAAAATAAATAAAAGAAAGAGTAAAGATTAATGTATGTTAAAAGTTCTTGAGTAAAGACACGAATAATTTAAAATCGCTTACCGCGAGGCGATTTCGTCTAAAGGAAGAGATCCTCATATTGCAAGAACAGCTCTCCGCTTTTAGGTGCAGCAGGAATTTCGGAATACGCCATTCGCGTGATATTTTAATACTTTATATCTCACGGTGCTTGCAAGTAAATCTCTGCCATGATAAGACCCGCCAGGAATCTCACCCCCTCGAAACATCCGCCGTTTATAAGAAATGTTTTCGAAGTTTATGAGGGCGACGCGAAGTTCTGGTATGGGGTGAACCTAAAGCTTTCACCCTTCCCTCCCTTTTTTTATTCTTTTTTTTAAATAAAAGCAACACTGATAGAGAAAAATATCGTGTCGCAAAACTGGGAATAAAATCACGTCGTCGCTAAAATATGGTCGAAAAATGCAATGAAAAATTTTCTAACGAAAGTTTGAACCAACAATACAGGCTGCTTCTATATAGCTTTATACATTATTACGTCCGCATTCAATTTCTGTAGAATGAGTTAAAAATGTTGAACAAAGCTAGATCAAACATCATTCATTACTGTGCGTTCAATTCTGTTAATTGGAATATTTTTTATGCGTTTTGTTATGTTACGTATATTCTATATCTTTTCCGAAAAACTTATTTAGCCTCAGCTTTATGATTGTTAAAAATTATTTCAGATATCAGATTCCAAAATTATTAAATAAAAAATTCATATTTCTTTTTCAAGAGATATCTGACAAGTTGGAAAAACAATTATATAGTTTGTGAATAATAGTTACGGTGTCACACGCTTTCTGTGACTTTGCGGAGCATCGTGTATGCTTATCATTTCGGCTATAATTCTGCGGTTGCAGTTCAGAGTTGCACCGGCTAACATGATGTCCAATCTGAGTATTGTTGTGACGTCACGAATTTAGACGCGGGTTAGGATTAGCTGTCTTCCGTATCAGACGGTACAGTTCCGAACAATACACGCACAATGGATGTACCTTGTGCATGATGACACCGTGTCGACAGTCGCTCCAAATTGTGTTTCAGTAATCTGGGCTATATATTGCGGCTTTCTCCTAATCTTTTCCACAAATCGCTCATTGTGCAAGTAAATTTTTTATTAACTTTCTTCCAAACAAATTTTTCATGTCTCTAAAAAACAGAAGAAATTTGACGAAATTACATTAATTTCTCTGAATGTGAACATATCTCGTTTTTAAGATCAAATATTGCTTGAAAATTGAGTTACATTTTTTGGTGTCTAATGTATAACGATCAGTTAGTGATTTAAAAATATAATACGCTAAAAAAGCAGAAGAAATTTATCTTTGATCTTCGTGAAAATTAAAATATATAAGTAGAATTAAAGTGAAACGGGGAAAAGAGAGAAGTTTACGAATGTGAAATCAATTCTCGACTTCAAAAAGGAATTACGAATTCGTCGCAAAATGAATTCTCATCGATTCTTTTTTAATCTATCCTATCCAGCTATCCTTCGCTGACATATACGTAGCTCGTGAAAGACGCTCGTGATGTCGACTCGACGACGCTGCAGATTTCTTGCAAGAGTCAGGTGCGGAGCGTCGACGCGGTGCGATGCGTGTCGATGAACCTGCACTCATCCTCCAGGTAAAGTCAGCAGACACAGCCGAATGCAAAGTGCATCGTTGCATAACGCAGAATCGCGTGCGCGATGCTTTTTTTGCGACACGTGTAAGTAGAAAGCGAAGAAAATATGTATATATACACAATTATTTTTTTGCGTATCTACGCAACTAACGATTATTCGGCGACGTAACGGCTGATTCCGCAGTGAGAAAGACACAAAGGCGTTTTTCCTTTTTTCATTGCCAGCATTGTTTTTACACTTTTAGTTATCTCCGGCATCACCACGCAAATTAACGGCCCGCGATGTACTTCTATAACTTTACAAACGTTATTAATGTTAAATAGAATTCGCGGCATACCAGCTATGCCGTGTGTTATGCCCAGGTCGAAATAGCTCGAATAAATGATGGGGCATAAAGAGCGGGATAATTGTCAATTTCATCGCGAACAAGACTCCGCATGCCGCGTATTAAAATAAGATAAGCTTCCTGCGCATTCTCTCTTCTTTTTTCTCAATTATTAAAGCTCCCGTGCTTCCGCTCTTCCGCGCTAACTACCGTTAGGAATATTATTTGCATTATTCACTCATGTACTCCGAGATACATAAAGGAAAAATTATAAACACACTTTAAATACATGACAATAATTGATTCGTTGTCCTGAGTTTTGCGCGTGTTTTTCCTGTTCGAAGTGAATTTCGAATCAACAATTGTGAATGTCCAGCGATGGGTGATTGTAGAGTATTAATCAGTGCGAAAACTGGGCTTTCGATATTCGTGAAACCAATTGCGTCTGTTGCATTGTGTCGGACACTGTTTGTTTATTTTCGAACATCAGTACAAAATTCCCTTTGTTTTCCGAATTTTTTGCACGTATTTTGGACGTATCGGCACTGTCGAGAGTGTCAGGAATGTCGCATCGGACAATCGTTATGGTAAGTAAATCAACGCGTGTAGTCTTTTGATGTTTGTAAAACTGATCGCGCCCACGATATTGTCTCGTGACGAACATTGCTTGTCGAACTTTAAGCAACGTGATTTTATTTTTCAAATTCTTTATCCTGAGATTATCAAAAGTGTGTCGGAAATGTTGGAAATATTGAATCGAGTAATGAGCGATTGTTGTAGAATAGTAAAGAATAGTATATAGATCAGTGATTACGATGATTATATTTGATTTGATCTAAACTCTAAATTAATTCAGCTTTAATCTAAATTAATAGTTTCTATTTGTCTTTCAGATTTCGTCAATCCACTTATGCCTATCGTGTCGTTTTGAACATTGCTTGCCGATATCATTTGTTGGAATCATCGTAGATTGAAAATGCATCGCATTCGTAAAACTCTAGAATTCGACAATGGCAGGACAGCAGTTGGTGAGTTAATTTTGTTATTATATTATGTAATTTATTATTTATTTAATTTATCTATTTGAATCCCACGATGTTATAACGGTCAAATAAAACTTTGACTTGTAAATTAAATAGTAAAGAAAATATTTTCTAATTGAAATGGAAAATTTAATATGTTTAAATGTAAATAGAGAGTGATAAGAGAGAAAGGGATATCTTTATAAAAATTATATCATTAAATAAACTCTGTACTCTCTAAATTTCTTAGAGTGATAACGCACTCGAAAAATTGAGTAACTGGTCGTGTCGCTCGCTTAGAGTGACTTTTCATTCATACGGAGTTAATTCTTCCTCTTTTTGTTGTAGAGTGAATTTTTCACTCTGCAAAGTAGAGTGATTATGTGTACTTTATTCTATAGAGCGAATATTTTTACTCTATGCAGTGTGGAGTGAATATTTCATTCACATGAAGAGTGCAATCTCACTGTTTTTAAGAGAACTGTTAAAACAAACGCCAACGAAGAAGATTTCATTCTCTGATCGAGTGAATTCACGTCGGAACGAGTAATACATTACTCTACGTTAGAGTTAAACAATCACTTTTGTGAAAAGTGAATTTTTACCATTTACGAGTGGCAGTATTTTCACTATCGCTTGAAGTGAATATCCACTCGTTTGGAGTTAGATTTCACTCCAAGAAATTTAGAGAGTATTATCTTTCATATAGTGCATATTTATAATAGTGTATTTATAACATTTTCAACTTTTTTTGGCAAGTGTTAAATTGATTTTTTCAATGCGTATATTTAACGGAATTTCCATTATTATCTACTTGCCGCAATGCAATCGAGTTCGCGACAAAGGGAATGCAATGATCCGCGGTGCGCAGCCGCAAATACCAGGTAACCAGCCTTTTATCGTCGAACACGTGCAGTTGCGATTACGCGTGTTTCCGATACCACAAATTCAGATTGCGTCAGTAAGCGTAGCTTTACGCCGGAATCAAGAAAGCGTCGAGAAAATCGATCGGCCAACACGGGAATCCCGTGGATACCAAATTACTTTCATTCTTCTTTATTTTGTTACATCAAAAGTGAGAAAATTTATGCGACACTCGTACGAATTCACGCAACTATATGACGATTGTATAATTTATCAAGCTCTTTAAATTCCTTGTCACAATATTTATAAAAGATATTGATGCTCAATGTAAATCTAGAACAAAAATTACTACGATAAGCTTTGTTTCGCACCGAATGTCGAAATTTAGCGTTTATCGCATACAAAGTATGATATTGCAAAAAGCTTCGCAGTACAGGATAATCGCGTTATATCGCGGAAATCGCGGCTAAAACGAGCACGGCTCGTTTTCAGAGCGGACAGAAGTTTGCGCAGAAATCGGGCGTTAATGTAATTAAGTAATTAAAGAGACGGTCGAGATCGGGGTCTGGCGTGTGCCGTTTCCATTCAATGTGCGCGATGCACACAAAACGTTGAAAACTCTCGTTTCAGCCCGGCGGCGCGTCGCGCTTTGCCACGTCGCGCTGCTGCTGGCCCGTTTGTAAACTTTTGTGTGGCACAATGCAACCGACTGACAAAAGGAGCTCATTGCGTGGCAAACGTTTAAAGGCATTAATTACGGTTGGGCTTTGTGCCAGTCGCAAAAGTTAACAGCTCCGGGCATTATTTTCGTACGCGAATGGTGTTTCGGTTTGCAAGTTTGACATCGTTGTTATTAATCTGCGGTATTTTTTGGAATATTGCGTTATTGCCTTGTAATATTCTTGAAGTATTATCTGCATTAGTTATATTTTATTAATAATGTCCAAACGACAAAAAAACAGCCTTTTTTTAGGAATTAAAAATAAATATGTAAAAATATAAAGTCACACGTTATAGTCACGTGTAATAGAAAAATTAATTTATATAAATCT